GTGAGAGAGACCATTGAGAGAGACCAGAGAGAGAGACCAGAGAGAAACCAGAGAGAGACCAGAGAGAGACCAGAGGGAGACCAGTGAGAGACCAGTGAGAGACCAGTGAGAGAGACCAGTGAGAAAGACCAGAGAGGCATCTACCTCTGTTCCGATAAGTTTTTCTGAGGTCTGTCTGTCTGTCTGTGTCTGTCTGTCTGTGTGTGTGTGTGTGTGTGTGTGTATGTGTGTGTCTGTCTGTGTGTGTGTGTGTGTGTGTGTGTATGTGTATGTGTGTGTGTATGTGTGTGTGTGTGTGTGTGTGTGTGTGTGTGTGTGTGTGTGTGTGTGTGTGTGTGTGTGTGTGTGTGTGTGTGTGTGTAGGAAGCTGGACGCCTTCATCTATGACGCAGCTGTGTTGAACTACATGGCGGGTAAAGATGAGGGCTGTAAACTCGTGACCATCGGCAGCGGGAAAGTGTTCGCGACCACAGGATACGGCATCGCGCTGCAGAAGGACTCACGCTGGAAGAGGCCCATTGACCTTGCTCTGCTGCAGTTCCTCGCCGACGGTAACACAACTCACACACACACACACACACACACGTTTGTTGTGTGTCGGTTTCATTGGAAAAGAAAACACACTTTCAACAGAAAACAAAAGACGTTCCTCACTAACGTATAAAGTGTCCTTCTGTTTACATGGAAACAGTTAAACCAAAAACTTCACACTGTTACACACTTGCTTCTTCTTGACATACATAATGTACAAACAAACTCCCTGCAGGATTTTTGGAGCCACCTAAGATTCAATAAAATTATAACTAAAAAAGACAATTTTAATGACAGCACTGAACCACATCATTCAGAACTGACAATACTCAAAATCAGTTTTTTTAAGCGTCTTTGAGAGTCCAAAATAGCTCTATATAACTTTGATGTATTATTATTATTATTATGTGATCCAATAATGCAGTAATCTGACAGTTTGCTTCATTACTGGAGACGCCATGATCCTGAAGAGCTTAAAATGGTTTCATGGATATTTCAGAAACACTGGAGCGTGAAAACAATCTGCTGTTTTTCTGTGTTCTTGGAGAGAGTGTAAAATGTCTGAAAGCGCTGAATAAGTCTCTGCTTTATTATGAGACAGAGTTATTGGCCCCGTGACCCGAGGCCGGACCACTCTGGGGCTGTATCTTTGCACACACACATTTATTATTTGCTTCTTGGACTCGCCGCTGTCGTTGTTGCTGTGGCTTTTTCACGACTCGCTTCATAAAGTCAAACGCTCTCCGAGGACGGACCCTTCGGAAGTCTCTCCGCACAGATGCTCGGCTCGGTCCGAACAGCCGCTTCCATTAAACTGCCCCGAGTTTGGGAATTACCCAAGAAACTGTGTGTGTACTTTACTCTCCGTTCATTCATGAGGCTCGAGCATCAGACAGCTGTTGGAGCTCTAGAGCAGTGTTTTTCAACCTTTTTTGAGCCAAGGCACACTTTTTTCACTGAAAAAATCTTGCGGCACACCTCCAGGAGAAAATGTAAAAATGTATACAGTACTAATGTAAAAAAATATATACTGTACATACTCTGTGATATATAAAGTATATCTTATCTTATCTTATAATGTATACAGTATACTCTGTAGCCTATATTCACAATATACTCTCATCAAAATGCTTAAGTCCAGGCCTTGACATTAAGCTTTATTTAATATTTCTCGATAAAATTAAGAAGAGTTTGGGAATAAAGTGGCACTAACTGTGTGGAAAAAAACTAAGAAAATCCACTCTCTGCCCAAATAGTCAAATAATAACTCACACAAAGAACATGCATTGTTAGTGCATGGGAAACATTTTGGTATCCGAGCTTTAAATTCAGGAGTTTTGGATGAGGGACACGGGAGGTCCTGAACGCGAGTCCATGGTTCTGTCCGGTCCGCATGTCTATGGTTCTGTCCACTCGACTACGGTCTGCGCTCGGTACCCAGTTCAGAAGTGCGTTCGCGAGAGCTGTTGTACAAAAATTGTACATTTCATAGTTAAACCACTACAACGCGGCCACACCTGCCCCGGGGCAGAGCGGAGGATGTTAATCCTGTTCAGAAACGGCATAATTCATTTTCAAAAACGTCTCTATCACTTTCACTTCTCACTCGCCACAAAGCTCTTGTCTCGCTCCCTCACACATTTGTTGGTCGCATCCAATTTGACCTTTCTCGCCACAATGCTGACCTGTTACAGCCAGTGGTCGCATCCAATTTTTCAGTTTCAAAGTACTTAGCTATCTGCTGCCATCTACTGATTTGAAAAAGTATTACATGGTTACTCACAGTTCAAAACAAGTCACCGCTCGTCAACAGCGAATGCAGCTATTTTTAGACAAAGTAGACGAATTTCTCACGGCACACCAGACAATATCATACGCCACACTAGTGTGCCGCGGCACAGTGGTTGAAAAACACTGCTCTAGAGATCGATATAATCTCTTTTTACGACTGTACGGGGACAGAGCAGAGGAACTAGTCCTGGTTCTTAAAGCTCAGACTCCAGACATTTCCTCAGCTCTAGGACTTATGGAACTACTCAAAGACATTGGGGAAGAAATTATTCATATTGAGTTTTCCACCAGCTTTAAAAAAAAATCAATGTTTTAACACTTCAAACATTAGATACTTGCTTTATCATTACTCTAACATTTAAAGTAAGTATAACATTTTAGATTTTGAGAGTTATCAGAAGTTTCTGGATGCTTGCCTTATTTTTAATGGACTTGAGCGGTAGAAAATGCGGCACGGTGGCTGAGTGGATAGCACTCTCGCCTCTCAGCAAGAAGGTCCTGGGTTCGAATCCTGGCCGGACCAGGGCCTTTCTGAGTGGAGTTTGCATGTTCTCCCCGTGTCTGCGTAGGTTTCCTCCGGGTGCTCCGGTTTCCCCTACCACTAAAAATATGTACAATAGGTCTGGCATGTGCCTCCTGTACTGGCCCCTCCCATCTCTGTGTGGAGTGAGAGGAGAAGTGCCCAAACATAACAATTGTAAACCGCTTTGTGACTCTGGTCTGTGAAAGGCGGTATATAAATAAAGATTACTTACTTACTAAATGGACTTGCTCTTCCTCCCTTTATGGAGTTTAGATTAGATTAAAAGCAGCCGTGGAGTCAGAACCAGAGCACTAACCAGAGGAGACTGTAACAGACAAAGGCGCAGGACTAAATTCAGCCAAAAGGTGGCGTCAGAGGCACATCGTTATGGAACACTTTGCCGGAACACGTTGGAAACTGTTGGATCTGCCAAACATTTAAAGTCCTCAAACATTTGTAGAAATCAAACTTGCTCCCAGAGATAATCTGCTCTTCCTTGGACTAATTCTTTATGTCTTGCTTTTCGACTTATTGTTTGTACTTTTACTAACTGTGTTTTTTACCTGGATGCGTTTATCTCTTGTGCATATTTATGTTGACGCTGTTTTCAGACACACTGATGAATATGTACTCTGCTAAATTCATATCAATGTAATAAAGTAATTTAAATAGTTTTAAATAAGTGCTAAAAGGTGAATATAACTCAAAAGGTTTGTTGAATCGCTAATACTCGTAAATTTAGCAACGTCAAGAGTTTATTCTTTCATTTGTTAAAGCAAATATATAGAGCCATGACCTCATTGTTATGGATAACTTTGATATACAATATAAAACTATCATATTTGAAGTAAAATATTGATTGTTTAAATGTTTTGAACTGTACATGTTAACGAACACCGCTCTCTGGATCGTAGCCTTGGGATAATTAGCATCTGTTGTCTCACATCTCGACTCCAGCCTAAAACCCAATCAGTCAGGATTTATTCAGCACTGAAAATATTAATAATTTAAGCTTTTTAGTTTTAAGCAACAATTTAGTTTTTTTCTTATAGTAAAATATACCTGATCTTTACAAACATGAGACCTGATGTACACAAAGGCCAAAGAAATAAACTACTGCTACTACACACACACATTTACCCAGAGTGAAAGGGCCAACCGGAGTACCTGGAGGAAACCTGCGCAGACACGGCAAGAACATGCAAACTCGATGCTGAAGAGCCCTGTCAGGAGGTGGACTCAAATCTCCGGAGCTTCTTGCTGTGAACCAAAAGCTCAACCACTGCATCAAATCCATCTCCAGGCATTTCTTTATGGAGTTTGCATGTTCTCCCTGTGTCTGGCTAAGCTTCCTCTATCAAGAAAACCAAAAATGTCCAGTAGAAATGAATGAATTTTGATTGAGGCACCAGTGCTTGTCTTCAGAGAGAAATGGAAAATGGCAGTGCACCAAATGTATAAATGTCTAGGTGTGACCTTGGTCTGTGAACTGCGCTACATAATTAAAGATGACCAAGACGACATCCCCTTTAAGAGCGGCTGTTTTGCAGGCGACACTCAGAAGCTGCAGACCGTGTGGCTGACGGGGATCTGCCGCAACGAGAAGAAAGAGGTGATGAGTTCCAAGCTGGACATCGACAACATGGCGGGTGTCTTCTACATGCTGCTGGTCGCCATGGGGCTGAGTCTGCTGGTCTTCGCCTGGGAACACCTGCTCTACTGGAAACTCAGGCACTCGGTCCGAAAGTCAGAGCGCCTGGACTGTCTCCTGGCTCTGAGCAGGGTAAGACATGTGGACCACCCTTTGATGTACTTTTGTCAATGGCTGTGGGGTTTGGGGCCTCCTCTCTTCTCTGGGTCCTGTGGGGTCTAGCTCTTGGACTTGGACAGGGTCTGGGGCCTTCTCTCTCCTCTGGGTCTTGGAGGGGTCTGGCTCTAGGACCTGGGGGGGTCTGGGGCCTCCTCTCTCCTCTGGGTCTTGGAGGGGTCTGGCTCTAGGACCTGGGGGGGTCTGGGGCCTCCTCTCTCCTCTGGGTCCTGTGGGGTCTTGCTCTTGGACCTGAACAGGGTCTGGGGCCTCCTGTCTCCTCTGGTCTGTGTTGTCCCCTGTGGCTGTAGGTGGCTCTCTGCTCCTGGTGCAGATGGCTCCCTGGATGGCGCTTCTTCAGCTGGATCCATCTGCACCGTCCTCGGACCCCTGGTTGAGAATCGCTGCTTTAAATCCACGACGCAATCCACAAAATCAAACACACTCATTTGATTTCCCGTTTTATCGTCTCCTGCTTTGACAAGTGTTTGCAGATTAGCTTAAATCGAATTCCGCGAGCTTCTCTCAGTTTTGAATAACATCTATATTCAAATGAGCGTCAGGAGAAAATGAACGTCAGGAGCAAATGAACGTCAGGAGCAGGGCATTGAGGAGGCAAAAGGCGGCGCGCTGGTTTTAACATTCTCGTCGTGGTCTCGTCTGAAATATTGTTTGCAAATGATCTGAGCTCTGGGTTTATCTCCGTGATCTGCGACGGCGGCGGAGTTTTAATGTTCGGATCAGACGCAGAGTTCAGGAAGAACAGTTTATTTGTGTAGCAAGGTTCATACACAACTCACTCACATGAACTCAGAAAACAAGATTAACAGGCATTAAATAAAAAAAAAAAGTGGAACAGTCTTCCTGAAAATGTGAGACAGGCTTTTATTCGGACAATGTTCCAATCCAGGTTAAAGACAGTTCTGTTTTTCTGTGCTACTTTTTAGTGATTTTTCCCAAAGTCAATGTATGATTTAAAAGCACTTTGAGCCGTTCACATAAACATCTGTCCAAACTAAGGCCCAGGGGCCAATTGCGGCCCTCATTTTCATTTCATGTGGCCCTCTGCCTCGCAAACCCAAAGTAGTCTTTGAGATCGCAAACACAAGATCACTGTGTCATCCATCCAACTTCAGCTCAGCCAACACAGACCTCGCTCCAGAACGTCTGAAATTCAGTCGTTGAATTTATTTGTACAAATTGTAATGACGTAGTTTTTGATTGTGTCACAAACCTCAGTTAAAGGTGCGACTGTTAGAAGGTAAACATGTGTCATTCAGCCAACTTCAGCTTCATTTGAAAGCTCAGAACAACCTGATGTCATTCAAGACAATTTTTCAGTCTGTGATGTTGGCCCCTGGACTAGTCTGCTGAACTAAAGGGGCCTCTTACTGAAATGTTTGGACACCCCTGCTAAAGATGACATTGATGACTTCTGTTGTGATTTAGGTCTATACAAGAATAAATTGTATTGTATTGTATTGTAATAAAATAGAAGACAGAATTGGGTTAATTAGAAAGATGTTGTGCTTGAAATTAAAGTAAGATACTAAGGTTATATGAAACAGTGTCATGTAACCCATATAATCCTGAGGGCATTAGGTCGGAGCCAATCCTGAGGTAGAAAGACAGACTTCAGTATTGTATTATTGTAAAAATAAGACATGTATGAAACGTCCTCACCACGTTTGTCTTTGTGCAGGGGATCTACAGCTGCTTCAACGGCGTGGAGCATTCAGACAAGAGCAACAGAGACATGCAGAGCCCCGACGTCACCTCCAACTACACCCAGGCTAACATGCTAAAGATGCTACGGACCGCCAAGGACATGGTCTCCTCCGCCCGGGTGGAGAACTCTCTGGACAACGCCACCAAAACCATCGAGAACTGGAGCCGGCGAGGAGCGGACAACGTGAGACTGCCCCCCAGAGTCACCGCCACGGACCTCACCCACAACCGGATGCCGTACATCTCCAGCATCACGGACAACCACTCGGCTTATCCCCAGCAGAGGGCGCTAACTCCCACCTTTCCCATTCATTACATCGACTCCGCCACGCAGCCGCTTCTGGATAAGTCGCGAGTGGTTACCAAGCCGACGCCGCTGAGATACACGCTCCCCGCCAGACCGAGTCACCATCTCCTGGAGCGGACTTTGCCCATTTCCAGTCTCAGCACGCCGCACTTAGCCATGCGGGACACCAGCCCGACCGTCACGCCGACTTTGCACCATCGCAACCGTCTCTACGTGGACAACCAGCCGACACAGCAGCGTCCCCAGACTTTTGTCCCGTACCGTGAGTTCCAAGTCCCCGATATTTACGTGGAGCACAAAGGCCCGTTTCGACGTAAGTTCAGCTACCCCCCGGACTGCCGGCAAAGGCGCGCGCACAACTACGTCTTCAACGCTTTTGATCCGAGGTCAAGGAATGACTACGATGAACCGCGGTCTTGCCTGGCCGAACTCCGCGCCAACGACCTTCTTCTAAATAACCACGCTAACCAAGCTAACTCTATACCGTGCTCTACCGCGGGCCACTACGCGGGAACTAGCCCCAGCTGTAACTCTTGCATGAAATCGTACGTGGAGGTGGACATGGACGACGTGCCGCTGTTGGGGAAGGACAAGCTCAACCGGCGAGCCTCATTTTTGAAAGCGACTTGGGGGAACGACCGGATTCGGCAAGTGGACGAAACCAAGCCTTCCACCTCGTCCGCGTTGCCGCCGTCCCGAGCGGACATACCGGACCTGTTCCCGCGTGTGGTGGTGGCGAACCCGAACCCGCAGTCGAGCAAACTGTACGGGAGTCTGGGGCACAACCTGTCGTGCTTCCCGCTGTCCGCAGAACCCGCCTACCTGGACCCGGCGCACATGGGCTCGTTCCCGTACAAGCAGAAGCTGAAATACGCAGACTGTGCTCAGCTGCCGTCGTACCGGGAGGCCATTCTTCAGAACGCCGCGGCTCTGAGGCGCTCCTCCTCCACGCTGATGCACAGACGCTACTCCTCCTACCTGAACTCGTACGCGGACTACCCGGTTTACGTAGCGCCAAGTCACTTTTACGACGGCGGTAGCAACAAAGACACGTGTCACTTGTTTCCGTGTGCGAGCCACTGTCCGGGGAACAGCAGCACACCGCTGCTGCAGCGCGTCAGTCACCAGCCCGTGGTGTACCAGCACAACAGCCTGTACGGGGCGTTCGAGGGGGGGGGCGGGGGCGGCGTGCGGGGAGAGGAGGCGGTGCGGGACCGGAGGCCGCTGATGGTAACGCGCAGAGTGAACAGTCCCTATGTGCCAAAGCCCTGGAGCAGGGTGTCCAGCCTGGAGTCTGAGGTCTGAGGCCCGCGGCACGTCCGGTTCAGGCTGCACCAACACCACCGGGTCCTGGGGCAGGAGTAAAGAGAGAGACCTGAGAGAGACCAGAGAGAGAGACCAGAGAGAGACCAGTGAGAGACCAGAGAGAGACCAGAGAGAGAGACCAGAGAGAGACCAGTGAGAGACCAGAGAGAGACCAGAGAGAGAGACCAGAGAGAGAGACCAGAGAGAGAGACCAGAGAGAGACCAGAGAGAGACCAGAGAGAGACCAGAGAGAGACCAGAGAGAGACCAGAGAGAGACCAGAGAGAGAGACCAGAGAGAGAGATCAGAGAGAGGCCAGAGAGAGACCAGAGAGAGACCAGAGAGAGAGACCATAGAGAGAGACCAGAAAGAGAGACCAGAGAGAGGCCAGAGAGAGACCAGAGAGAGAGACCAGAGAGACCAGGCCTCGAAATAGACAACCCTAACCCATAATGAACAAAGTAATTTAGAAGCATGGCTAACTTAGAAATAATGAACATTCAATACATAAAAAAAAAAACAAAGTGTAAAAACACTTTGTTTTAATCAAATATTGTGTCAAGAATAAAAATAATAATTCTCTACATTAGTAGGACGTGGACAGGGGCCTGAAAGGAATAAATATATTTCTCCCTATTACTGTAAAATAATTTATGTTTCCTAAAATCCATCCGCTTCATAAATGCTATTTTTTTGTACGACGCTAAAAAAGGGCTGATTTATATAAAACGTTTTTATACCGTTCTAAAACTAAGAAAGGATTCAACAGGGCGTGGTCTCGCACTATTTACTTTGTAATTTCATGTTTTAGAGAAATAACATCTGCAGTAGAAAATATATGACGAGAAAAGTGTCAAGGCTAAATGATGCTAACTGCCTGTAACGCCATCTGCTGCCACCAGAGGGAGGTGCACAACGTTTTCACAAATCTAAAAATTACCAGCAGCAAACACAGACATGCCACTTCAGAGATCGTCATTTCACCAGAATAAATAACAAAACTAATTTAAGGGCAATTCTTTTGTTCGAGTGTGATGTCACAGCGGTACAATGGCATTATAGAGTGACACAGAAGGGGCGGAGCTACATGTTGGTCTCAGAAGTTCCTTTTATTGGACCAGCCCTACTCTACTCGACCCTGTTTGGGAGCATTTACACTTTTTCAGTACCTGTTTGGTCCTGGTTCTATCCAGGCCGAGCTGGTACTGACGTGTGCTAACTGACAGATATCCAGAGTGCTGCTGTAAGCCATGGTTACCAGGGAATTTCCCGGATACTGAGTAGGGTAGAGTAGGGTAGGGTAGGGTAGGGTAGAGTAGGGTAGAGTATGGCTGGTGGATCATCTCCCATTGGGTTATTTGGTCTGGGTTAGGGTTAGTTGGGACTTGGTGGGACCTGGTCTTTCTGTTGGGACTTGGTGGGACCTGGTCTTTCTGGTGGGACCTAGTTGGACTTGGTGTTTCTGGTGCGGTGCGGTCTGGACCCGGCGTATTTGGACCTCTTCCAGCCTCTCAGACTGGAGCCTGTTTCAAGCAAAAACTACCACACCGACAGTGTATTGGAGAGCCCGCCTCTCGCTCATCCGTGCAATAAAACTAACAGAAGGAAACCGGACTCGGGACTGGACTGTGCGAAAAGTATTTACGGCTCTAAGATTTAACGGATCGTTAACGATTTTTAATGTTGTGTGAATGATGTGGGAGACAATATACTGTAGCCTCTCGAAACTAATTATCACATATATATCTATTTTTACTGATTCTATTTTAAACGCTCGTCTTCCATGGTTTTCTGACCTTGGTGGGAACGGTCGGCTTGTTCTAAAGTGGTCTAACTAGGGTTGGGGGGGGGGGGGGGGGGGGTTAAAACGATCACAATAATTATATGTATTATCATTGTTGGTCTTTAATAAAGACGGGTCAGTCAAGGCTTCTGGGACCTGCCTCCTGTTTTTATTCTGCTTTGAAAAAGGGTTTGACTCAGGTTGCCATATATGCAGACGAATCCAGCTGGGACCATAACAGCTGAATAGACAAGAGTTTAGTCAACAACAAATCTATAACCAACACCTTTTTCACAAAGATAGAAATCCTGGTTTTATTCCTTGTTTTGTCGTTAATGATTTGAGAATCATAACAAGACCTTTTTTAGTTCTGCGCCACATGGTACTTTACCAGTGAGATTAGCTCCACACGGTGAGTTCTGGCGCCCGGATCACAGACTTTCTGATTGGTGAAACGGTGGAGGGCGGGATATCGAAATTAAAACAATAACAAGATTTCGAGGCTGGAAAAGTAATTTAGAAATTCATATATCTCTGAACGACTGTTATCAGTTAAAGAAGTATTGGAAAAGAGCAGTTTATTATTATGACAGATTAGGGCCCTTTAATGATGACAGATTAGTGCCCTTTAATGATGACAGATTAGGGCCCTTTAATGATGAGAGATTAGTGCCCTTTAATGACGACAGATTAGGGCCCTTTAATGACGACAGATTAGGGCCCTTTAATGATGACAGATTAGGGGCCCTTTAATGACGACAGATTAGGGCCCTTTAATGAGGACAGATTAGGGCCCTTTAATGACGACAGATTAGGGCCCTTTAATGACGACGATTAGGGCCCTTTAATGATGACAGATTAGGGCCCTTTAATGATGACAGATTAGGGCCCTTTAATGATGACAGATTAGGGGCCCTTTAATGACGACAGATTAGGGCCCTTTAATGACGACAGATTAGGGCCCTTTAATGATGACAGATTAGGGGCCCTTTAATGACGACAGGGTAGGGCCCTTTAATGATGACAGATTAGGGCCCTTTAATGATGACAGATTAGGGCCCTTTAATGATGACAGATTAGGGGCCCTTTAATGACGACAGATTAGGGCCCTTTAATGACGACAGATTAGGGCCCTTTAATGATGACAGATTAGGGCCCTTTAATGAGGACAGATTAGGGCCCTTTAATGATGACAGATTAGTGCCCTTTAATGACGACAGATTAGGGCCCTTTAATGATGACAGATTAGTGCCCTTTAATGATGACAGATTAGTGCCCTTTAATGATGACAGATTAGGGCCCTTTAATGATGACAGATTAGTGCCCTTTAATGATGACAGATTAGGGGCCCTTTAATGACAACAGGGTAGGGCCCTTTAATGACGACAGATTAGGGCCCTTTAATGAGGACAGATTAGGGCCCTTTAATGAGGACAGATTAGGGCCCTTTAATGAGGACAGATTAGGGCCCTTTAATGAGGACAGATTAGGGCCCTTTAATGATGACAGATTAGGGCCCTTTAATGATGACAGATTAGGGGCCCTTTAATGACGACAGATTTGGGCCCTTTAATGACGACAGATTAGGGCCCTTTAATTATGACAGATTAGGGCCCTTTAATGAGGACAGATTAGGGCCCTTTAATGATGACAGATTAGTGCCCTTTAATGACGACAGATTAGGGCCCTTTAATGACATACTTGTCCTTTAAACGGTGCAGCTGTGTCTGAGGTTATGAAGCAGACAGAGGGTTCAGTGCTCGGTCCAGAGGGAGTTTGGTTTTCAGTTTTATCCCAAATGATTCTGAGGAAATTAAAAAAGACATTTTCCTAAATCGCAGCGAACTGAAGAAACTGACCTAAGCCTCTGGGGTTTGTCTTTGGGACAGGAGCCGTTTATACACGACTAAAATAGTTTAGTTTGACCTTCACAAAACCAAAACATCAGGTGGAAAAGTCCGGACCTCTGTGGAAACACAAAATATGTTAACATTAACAACACAAAAAGAGACACACATAAGAAAAGTGTGAAAAGGGCGGCACGGTGGCTGAGTGGATAGCACTCTCGCCTCTCAGCAAGAAGGTCCTGGGTTCGAATCCCGGTCGGACCAGGGCCTTTCTGAGTGGAGTTTGCATGTTCTCCCCGTGTCTGCGTAGGTTTCCTCCGGGTACTCCGGTTTCCCCTACCACTAAAAATATGTCCAATAGTTCTGGCATGCGCCTCCTGTACTGGCCCCGCTCCCATCTCTGTGTGGAGTGAGAGACAAATGCCCAAAAATTAACAATTGTAAACCGCTTTGAGACTCAGATCTGCAGTGAAAAGGCGGTATATAAATAAATACTTACTTACTACTTACTAAAAGATAATAAGATACTATACTATGTGTGTGTGTGTGCGTCTGTGTCTGGGTGTGTCTGTGTGCGTCTCTGTGTGTGTGCGTCTGTGTGTGTGTGTGTGTGTTTCTGTGTGTGTGTCTCTGTGTCTGTGTGTGTGTGTTTCTGTGTGTGTAGTAATTATTTAAAATAAACATGTTTATTACACATTCCTCATGAAAATAAAAAAACTTTGAAGTAGGAGGAGTGTCCAAACTTTTAGTCTGTTAAGTCGGTCTTTCGCTCTGCTCTGGTTCAGATCCGTCGGCTCCATGTTTCACGACAGCAGCTCCTCACGCCGGCGGCCATTTTGATTGATAACACCTGGACGCCGATGACAATGACCTTGTGGT